GTTTAGCCTTGTGAGTTTATGTTGTTTGTCATATTTACGTATTAATAAGAAGCTGGATTTCAAAGGAAAACTAAAGCCCTGCCCTTGGGAGCCTTCCCGGTGTGCTGTTGGGGTTCTGACGCCTCTCCCCCACAGACCCGGAGGCGGCCTGTCAAACGGGGCCACCCCCCCTTCACAATGGTATTGGCAATATAAATCGATAGCTCCTCAGGCACTGGGATTGATCAGGAGCATGAATAAATTAAATTCCCCAAAGACCTAGCAGGATGCCATAAGAATTGCTTTTGGTCATAATGATGCACGGTTAATTATAAAATACTCGTCTAATTTATTTAGCTTTATGAGGTCACATCAATAAATGTCTTGCAACAGATAATGTCGGGTTGCCTTTCACAAAGACGACTTCATTTAAGACCCTTTGCACACTTCCGTCCTCAGCCCTGCAGCTTTGTCCCTCAGGCGCATGCATCTCTGGCCTCCACCCATGTCCTCATTGTGGCGTGTCGTAGTCTGAGACCTGTCGGCCTGTTAAAGGCCAGCGGGCTCTCAGCGCGAGTTCACGGTGGGACGTTCAGGCCCCCCGCCCCCCGCCCCGGTCGCATTCTCACCGTAAACTTGCGTTCTTCAAACGTTAATAAGCACCACCACCCCTTCTCACGCGCGCGAGGGCCGGCGCAGAAAGCCTGCGACGCGAGGCTGCCTCAGACGTAGCAAGGCCGGGGCCCGGGCAGCGGAGGTGTCGACACCGCCGCCTCTTCCCTCTGAAGGCAGACTTGCTGCTCACCCCCCGACGCGCTACTGCACGCGAAACAAGGAGTTGGGGGGGACAGGGCAGAGATGAAGCCGCACGGCGATTGTCATGCCGCTGTCCCCGAGAGTCCCTGTCCAGAGCGAGACTGAGGTGGGACCGAGCAGGGGCCTCGCCAGCAGCTCGTCCTGCTCTGTCTGCAGCCTGCGTGCGTAGCGGTGAGCGCCAGGAAGAAACTCCAGAGAACCCGGGTAGCGTGTGCTCACTGTGTGCTGGCAGATTCCATGTGCTGTCACCAGACGTAGGAGGCGAATCCCCCACATAGAGGGCAGAGACGTCACGTGGCAACGCTAGCGTGGCCCCAAGAGGTGATGGATGGGACGGGGCCCCTGCAGACGGCCGGCCGGGCGGAGCCAGCCTGGACAGCTGTGTCTGGACGCTCATCGGC